TTATTGTTACGGTTATTTAAAAGAATAGTTTTAGAGAAAAATGTTGTGTTGGGTGGTCATAATCTGATATTTTGCTAATCTCTACACTAGGTACTGATGTTACCTGTGAAAATCAAACTAATGTAGAAGACAGTTTGAAGAAGATCAACTTTGGTAAACATCATGGGGATAAAAGCCCTCTAATAGTCACAAATAAATGCTTATTAAATATTGTGCACACATAATTTGTCAGGTTTTATAAATGCCACATAATAATTAAATAAAGCTGCCAGAAATATGGATAAAATTTTACAGTGTGCAAATAAGCACGAACTATATACACTACCAATCAAAAGTTTGGACACACCTTCTCATTTAATGGTTTGTCTTTATTTTTACTACTTTCTACATTGTCGTCGTCATCATAGTTTATGTATATATCACCTTAAAAACGCGCAAGGCTTACCAAAGTGCTGAATAACAGAAATATAAGAGATACAATAGGAATAATAAATACAATAAAATAATAAACATTGTAAAAACAATAAAATATAAGTAAATACAAGTCAGAGTCAAAAGCCAGTGAATAAAAATGTGTTTTTAATCTGAATTTAAAAACCAGCACTGATGTTGATTGACTAATGTGAAGAGGAAGATTAGATTGTAGATACATACTGAAGATATCAAATATATGAAGCAAGATATATGGAAGAATGTAGGCAAGAAAAAAAATGATAAAGAACTTGATGTAAGTTTTAGATTGCTGAAAGAAGCCACCCTTTGCTTTGTTGACAGTGCTGCTAACCCTTGGCCTTCTCTTACTTAGCTTTATGATCACCTGAAATAGTTTTCACTTCACAGGTGTGCCTTGTTTGGGTTCATTTGTGGAATTTCTTACCTTCTTAATGGGGTTGCGACCATCAGTTATCTTGTGCAGAAGTCAGTTTGGTACACAACTGACAGCCTATTAGAATTCATGCTATAGCAAGGACCAATCAGCTAAGTAAAGAGAATCGACAGTCCATCATTACTTTAAGAACTGAAAATAAGTCAGTTATTAATTTGTTAAAACTTTGAATGTGTCCCCAAGTGCAGTCACAATACCATACCATACACTTTGCGTTTAGTTGGACCAGCATTTATTTTTCAACAGGACAATGACCCCAAGCACACCTCCAGGCTGTGTAAGGGCTATTTGACCAAGAAGGAGAATGATGGAGTGCTGCCCCAGATGGCCTGGCCTCCACAGTCACCTGATCTGAACCCAGTCGAAGAGATGGACCGCAGAGTGAAGGCAAAGGGGCCAACAAGTGCTCAGCATCTTTGGTAACTCTGTTGGAAAACCATTTCAGGTGACTACCACATGAAGCTCATCGAGAGAATGCCAAGAGTGTGCAAGTTATCAAAGCAAAGGGTGGCTATTTTGAAAAATCAAAAATATATAACACATTTTGAGTTATTTAACCCTTTTTGTTTACTACATAATTCCATATGTGTTCATTCATAATTTTGATGCCTTCAGTGAGACTACAATGTAAATATTCATGTAAATAAAGAAAAACCATTAAATGAGAAGATGTGCCCAAACTTTTACCTGGTAGTGTATACTTTCATACATTTATGCAATACATTCAGTTTAAAATTATGTTTTTATCATGCTCTGCTTATGTTTCAAGTGTTGGTAAGCTCTCTAAAAATATCAGCTTTGCAGGATTCTATGAATAAGGAGCGAGAAGAGCAGAAGAGGCAACTCGATTATATTGGTGAATACACATGTTTCCATTAGTTATCAGAAAACTGGCAATGTATGTAACAGCTCGTCTCTCTTATCTTATGGCAGCTTCACAGCTGAATTTCCTGACAAAAGAGAGAGAAGAGTTGAAGAGGAAGCTAGTGGACTTTGGTAAGTGTGAGCATGAAACTCATACTCATACTCATAACATGATCATATCGTTTTCTCGCTGCCAGGATTGCACAACCAGTTATTGGGTATAGGTGAAAATGCTCTTTATGATTTCCTTACTGTACTGCCTTATGCAGAATTTTCTGTTCTCATTTTAGTCATTGCTGACATCGCTGTTGGGTTTTGTTTAGTTTCTGTTCTTCTAAGTCACGTCTGTTTTTGTATTTCATCTTTCTATGTTCCGTGGTTTCCCTCCTATCTTCCCTCTGTGTCAGGTTCATTTTATTTTCCCAGTTCTGTTGTTTCTACGTGTTGTGTTGTGTTGTGTTTACTTCCCCATCTCATTATATCAGTTGTGCCACCTATCCCCTCGTTATCAGCAAGATATATTGTGTCTGTCTCCCTCTGTCTATTGTGGCACCATCCCTCAGCTCTCACATCTGTGTGTACACTAGCTCTTTACCTCCCTCCTCCAGGTATCTTCTAGTGCTTTTGATCTTGTGTAGTTTGGGCTTTCATCAATAAATGTTCATTTTAAGTTTACTCCTTCCTTCTGTGTCTCCGCATTTTGGTTCCACAAATAACCAGCTCAAACAACAACACATGACAGGGGATATACCCATTCACAGCACTATACACTATATACACAATACCAAACAAACACATTCAAATGAAAACTATGTTGTATCTTTTAACATTTGACACTTATTTCACAGGTGTTATTTCGGTTTGTACAATACTGTAACTACAGTTCATTCTTTCTTCTCATGAAAGCTCACTATGCGCAACAAGGTTGGCTGTATTTCAACGGCAGTTTCTATTATATTTCTTCAATCACGAAAACTTGGCAAGACAGTAGAGATGACTGTTTGCAGAGAGGCGCAGTCTTGGCGATCATCAGCAACACAGAAGAACAGGTATGTTCATTTATGATATAATTAGATAACAGAGTGAAACATTTAAGTAAAACAAAAATGTGTGTGACATCATTTCAATGGTTGATTGCTGCATGTTTATGTTTATGTGTAAGGAATTCATAAGGCTGCAGCAGAAGGTAATGTGGATTGGACTGACTGACAGAGAGACAGAAGGAGTTTGGAAATGGGTGGATGAGACTCCATTGACGGCAAGGTTTCCACTTTAAAAATTAATCAAATTAAATAATTCCTCTATTATGTTTAGATTGTAAATATCATGAAATTGTTGATTTTAAGTTGTTTCTAATTTGCATGTGTTTGTGTTGCGATTTTGTCCTCTTTATCTTTCAGCTTCTGGTACTCTGGGGAACCCAACAATTTTAAACACAGAAATGAAGATTGTGTAGTAATAAATCACTACTATGATTATGAAAACAACTGGAATGATGCTGCATGTGAAAACCTAAACTTTTGGCTCTGTGAAAAAGACATGTGAAACATGTGGGTTACAGTTTTGCTTTGTTCCTGCTAAATAGTTTTAATAAAATATCCTGCATTAAAAAAGTCTAAAATGTGAATGTTCCCCTTTAAGCCCTTTGTGAAACAGTAAAAGTAAAGATCTGTGTATTGTTATATCTCACTCAAGTGTTCATACAGGTTAATCAGGACTTAACAATTAACAGATCTTTGGGGCCTACTTTCCAGGCCACTAAATCTTAACCCAGTTAAATACCAAGTGCACAGATTATAGAGAAGAACTGCTGATAGCAGGTGTGTGATTTGTTTTTGACTGCAAAGCCACCCTGGCAAGTACATATTCAGTGGACGCAGGATTGACATACAGGGGACCCTGGTCCCCCAACTAAAATACTATGAAGTATGTTTATACAGTGTAGCCATGTCAAAAACTGTTTTTACAAATGAACTCATTCTCGCAGCTGGAAATACTCTGATTTAAGCCTTGCAGAAGCCAGAAAACATAAACTCACTGTAAATTAATTTGACAATTTTCTGCCATATTTTTATGTGGTGCAACTCGGACATTACATGGTTTTTATTAAAAGTTTAAACTTGGGAATATATTTTCCTCGATGTGGCCTCTAAGATAAAATGACTTTGAAACCTCTTGCATAGAGGAACCAGGGACCATAACAAAAACTGGCTCAACTAACAAACCATAACTTAAGATAGAACTACAGCAAAGCAGGAAGCTATGTGCTTAAAACTGCAGATGCTGTCAAAAATGAAAGAAAGATAAGGAGGTTCGCTATATCCAACAAGGATGGATATACTTCAAACACAGTTTATATTACGTTTCATCTACTGAATACACCTGGAATGACAGCAGAGAGGACTGTCTGCAGAGAGGGGCAGACCTGGTGATTATCATCAGCAGAGAGGAACAGGTACAGTATATAGGAGCAAAATCTGTTTCTGAGACACAAAGACAAAAGTGTCTCAGTATTTCTATATAAGAGAAAAGTCCTGGAATGATGTACCATGTGACAGTAAAAAAGTCTGGATTTGTGAAAAAAATGTAGAGATAATTTAACCCACCAGAAAAGATGTAAGATGTAAAATCATGACAAATATATGTAGTCATATAATATCACCATTGATTTCAGTTAGTCAGCTGATTTTAAGTGAAAGCAGAGAGGCAGAAGAAAAGACAACTAACATAATACTTTGTTTATAAAGTTGGTGTGCAGGCTGTTGTCTCTATATATTATATAATCTTATATAAAGCTTCTCCAGCTTTTCTCAACATATTCCAGAAAAAAACCTGAGTGCCATAAACATGTGGACTGATCTGTGTGAGGGAGGAGGGAGGTAGTGACGTGGCATTTCAAACCATATAGTTTTATCCTTCCGCACTGAGTAGTAAAATCTCCATCTTACTTACTTTTTTTTTTTTTTAATTTAAGACAACTCAAATGACCAGAGCTGATCAGCTTTTTGAATGAAAAGTACTAGTAACTTACTTAAACTGAGTTCTAAAAACAAGTTGATAAAAACTCAGTCTACTTGATATTTTTAGTTAAACACATTATTAGATTTTACAGTGTGAAAAGAATTTAGATAATGTTCAAATTTTCATTTAAAAATATATATCTTTACCTAAATGTGAATAGATTTTGCCACAATTAAACAAATATGTAGGACTACTTTCTTCCATTTGCCTAATATCACTAAAATTAGAAACATCTGGTCTCAAAGTGACACTGAAAAATTCTATAGAGTCTAGTGTCCTACTTTAGATTTTTGCATTTTCTTTTTAGTGTTCTGACTATTTAGTAGGTTCTCGCCCCTGTGTCCTCTCCTTGTATCTGTGAGTTCCCTTGACTAGTTTCTCCTCCTTGTGTTTAATTTCCATTTTTTCCCCAGCCCGTTATGTCTGTGCTCTCCTCGTGTTCTCTCTCCCCCTCTGCGTACTTCCTGTTTTACTTAGTCTCCCATCAGTGTACGTCCTGTCGTGTTTTCTCCTGCCCTGTCTTGATAAGATTATCAGTGTCACCTGTGTTCCCCGTTTGCTCCCACATCCCTTGTTATCCTTCTGTGTATTCATGTCTGCGTCTCCCTCATTTCTGTCGCGTCCTCCCTCATAGCTGTGTGTGATTCTCCCCGTGTCTCCTAGTGCATATTATAATTAGTTTTTCCCAGTTTAATTTTGTATTGTTTATATTGCCTGTTTCCCAGCAATAAAGGTGTGCTTTTTAGTGATGGGCAGATGAAGCTTCATGAAGCACTGAAGCTTTTCATCCAATTGGTTCACCCCAGCGCAAAACTTCTTGAAGCTTCATTTGCTCTAGTAGGACATCTACTGGACGTCAAAATATTAGTTGGCATGAATTTGAAGAGTGTGGCCTTTTGCACACAGCCTGTAAATGTCAACAACAAAAGGAGTGTGTAAAACATGTATATTGTAGTGATGGCAGTATACTGTGTATATTTATACTGCCAGTATGGAAAATGATCATTTGGAAATGCTTAAAATGGAAATGATCATTTACTGTGAGGTGAGGTGTGATTGGTGTGCCGACAGTAGTTGTGCTTTTGTAACGTTGAGGTATGGACAGCTACACACTGAGGCGTCAGTCCTGCCTGTTCACATTTTATTCTGTAAAAACTAAATGTTCACTGTTTTTATGACCTTTTTAGTGGGGAGAACATAGCTAGGATTTAATGATTTAACAAATCTTTTGAATCCTTTGTCCTCCACATTGCTAAATAGCTGGGAGTCCTCGATCACCATGCTAACCAGGTCTTCATCTATTTGAGATTGTTCTCCTGAGGAAAGACAATAAAGACAAAGCACAAATATAAATATCACACACGTAACTTATAACAGTTGTATAATATTGTTATATCATTTAGCAACATTACTGCATGCTATATTATCATGGCATTTGATGGCTCACCTGGTCTTGCTCCACAATCGGCGTCCCCCTTATTCTCATGCAAAGCTCTGTAGTGCCTAAGCATGGATGAGGTGTTGTTGTTATATCCCAGCTCCCTGGCACATAGCAAACACTTCACCTTGTACAAAAGTAAAGACAGCTTAACATAAATTGTATCGCACCATCAGTATTATGAAAATACATCTTCTGTAGAAATTTACATACCTTGTTGGGAGGAATAAGATCAAAATGTTCCCACACAGGGGAGGACATCCTCCTCTTCTTAGCTGCCTCCATTCTCTCCTGACTTTCTCTCCTCACTCTCATAAACCTCCAAACTGTCTCCAAACTGTCTCCAAACTCTCACTAACCGCAACTCTCCATCAAACACCTACATTTTTGAATGAAGTCTGAGGGGTTTGTATCGCTGTCATATCTCGCGGCAAAGTTCGAACCACTTCATAAACCAGTCACGTGGTACAGCCGGGCAGCGAGGCTTCGGACGTCATCATTTTCAGCTCCTCCCATAAATGAAGCAAGCCTCGATACGCGCATCGCGGAAACGCCCCCTCCATTACTCGACACAAGCTTCGAAGCCTCGATACAGAACATCACATCACTAGTGCTTTTGAGTTTAAGTTCCGTTCCCGTGAGTTTGTGTTTGGTTCCAATTCCTGCTTGCCACACAGCCATAACGTGACAGTGGACACATTCCCAGAACTCTCAGTTATCCGTTATTTTTGGCTGTATTCATTTTCCCTTTAATTCTGACAAGCTTCCATTTTCCTGCCACTGATAAGTGCATGACACTGCTACCAGCATGCTTCTCCAGAGGAATGGCATCACAAAGGTAATTTCTTTTAAACGCTTCTAGATTCAGATCCAGATTAAGTTTTACAACTTCCAGTATGACTGTTATGTACTGGTTACTTAAAGTGGCTACTGTCCACTGCACTCTAGTCCCAAGGCTCTATTGGTCCGGCTTATAAAGTGCTTTTAACATACGGCAGGTTGTCTAAACTGTACAGGGGAATTCAGTTAGAGAGACCATTACGCTGCTGGTCACCTTTCTGACCGATAATCTCTTGTTTGATGGTTTGTTTGTTTTTTTGTTTTTTTGTTTGTGTTTTCCTTGATTCTATACTTCTTCCTTTTTTCTCCCATGATTGAAACCAGTGTGCTGTTAAGAATGTTCAAAGCTTTATAAAAAGATATATAAACCCTTGACCTGCTGTTTCCCACCTCAAAACAATAACAGAAGTCACAGAATTTCTCTCACCAATTTTAAGAAACTCACCAATTTTTCCAAGGATTTCCTTTTGCCGCAGATGCCCAAGCAAATTTTATATTTAACTGGTCATTTTAATTACTGACCTTGAATTGCTTATACTGATGTAGCCAATGCTAAGGTAGCATGATGAGTGGTGATTTTGTCTGTGTGTGAATTAATCCTACTGTCTTTCCAGTTTTAATATCTTAATATATTCCAAATGACTGAAGACAAACGCTTGAACGTTAGACCAGTTTTACCATCATTGTAAGTAAGGTTTGGTTTCTCTTTCACTGGATTTTATTTTTGAGTGACTGTATGTGTAAATAGTTGCCTGTGTATTATAGACAATTCATATTGAAAAAATACTTATATAAGATCAGAATCGACAGTATATAGAGATTATATAGATTTCCAGGTGGATATTACATTCAAAAGATCAAAAGATAAGTAAAGGAAAATTGAAATGAGATTATTGAGATGCACAAAGACACATTTATGCACCCTTCTATAACATTTAATCATTATTTTTAATGTAATGTGGAATTGTAAATAGATATCATCACTTAAATACATTTTGACACTTGGATCACTTATGTAAGAAATCCTTGACATTCACCACATGTTATAAAGACTTCATATATTTGTCACAGGAATTAGCTGCATCAGCTATCAGCTGCCATAAAGGGTAACTTTCAGCTTTTAATATTCTGCTATTGTCTCTTATTTACACGTTTCTTTTTTCCCCTCACAGGTTCTAATAGAGAGCACTGAAAATAACTAAAAGGCATCATAGACTGTTATGGAACTGCTCAATGTGACGTTTCCCCCTGTTTTTTCTGTGACTTTCATTTTGCATTCTGACCTTGCTTTGTAAAACAGGGTTGAAACTCCTTTTGCGGTTGTGCTGTATGTTGTGCCCAAAAGCCCGTAAAATATAAGCTGTTTTTACTCAGGTTTTAACATTCCAGCTTTTTAGTACAAAGTTCACATGATGTCCGGTTGTGCCAATAAGTAACTGTCCACAGAAATCACTGCGAGGTAGTGAGTAGATGTCCTGTACCTGCCTCCTGCACATTCTACCAAGGCAGCTGTCTCTTACTTGAAGTAAAGGGAGTAGTTGGGTACTGA